ATCCGCCTGCCTCGGCCTCCCAAAGTGCTGGGATTACAGGCGTGAGCCACTGCGCCCGGCCAAAGATAAATTATTCGAATCATTTACTTGACACCAGAGTTTCTCTTAATGATACAAGCTACCTTTGTTTAGGAAAATAACCTGAAAGATTGTTTTGCGTGGGAAAAAAGAGACCCTCTCCTGAAACATGGTGTGTAGTATGGTCTTTAAAAAAAAAAAAAAAAAAAAATTGGGTAAGCGGTTCTTCAAAAAAAGCTAAGAGTTCTTCAGTGATGAGGGTTAGGCGGAAGAGAAAAGAGAGAAGGAAGTGAGAGAAGGAAGAAGGGAGCTAGGAAGTACAGCAGGCGGCAGAGCCTGTAGAAGCAGGTTCCATGAGATAGTCCCAGGGGTGCAGTGGCCGGTGGTCATTTATGAGCAGAGGGGTCAATGCTCAATTTAAAGTTGTCTCTAGTGCTGTGATAGGAATCCCCTGCATTGCTAGAAGCCTTCAGTAAAGTCGGCTACACGTGTGCCAATGTTTACAGAAAAATATCACGGTAATTGGCTTTATTCGAGTTTAGAATGATCTGGGGCAAGTAGAAACCAGGAACTGGGGAAGTTGAGATAGGAGAGAAAACAAGTATTCCTGCAGTCCCCTTCCCCCACCCAATCTCTGGATTTATTGGGCGAAACAATATGAATGTGGGATAAGGGACAAAACGCTTCTTATTTAAATCTAAAGAGAATATGACTTCCCTCCCACTCACATGTTCATTTGGATTACATAAGCACGGATTAATAGTTAAATTCATCAGGAGAAATTATTTAATTTTGAACGCAGCTATTTTCATGTCTGGTATTCTATTATATGTATGTTTATAGCTTGCAAAAACAGTAGTTTATAATTATCTTTAATGAAGTCTGTATTTTTTTTTTTTTTTTAAGGAGTCACAACCTGTGTCAGAAATAAAAACTAAAGCATTGATGGGATTGTGGGCTAAATTTTCTGGGACTCGACAATCATCATCATAAAAGGAGCTGCCTGCCTGTTGCTGGCAGCAGAGAATTTTAGTCATAGTACTTAGGAGGTAATAATTAGTAGCTCCTAACTATTTCTAGTTTCACGAATCCCTGAGAATCTTATCAAAACTGTGGGTCTTGGCCGGGCGCGGTGGCTCACGCCTGTAATCCCAGCACTTTGAGAGGCTGAGGCGGGAGGATCACGAGGTCAGGCGATCGAGACCATCCTGGCTACCACGGTGAAACCCCGTCTCTACTAAAAATACAAAAAAATTAGCCGGGCGAGGTGGCGGCGCCTGTAGTCCCAGCCACTCGGGAGGCTGAGGCAGGAGCATGGCGTGAACCCGGGAGGCGGAGCTTGCAGTGAGCCGAGATCGCGCCACTGCACTCCAGCCTGGGCGACAGAGCCAGACTTCATCTCAAAAAAAAAAAAAAAAAAAAAAAAAAAAACTTGCTGTAGTTTGGGAAACGTGACAATCTGGCATTCCTGCCCATAAACCATGATAGCGATTTTATGTTGTTCTTAACAGTTAACTCTTAAAATGCTACCTCATTTATATTGTCATAAGCTGATTTTTTTTAAAGGAAAAAAAAAAAAGCCTGCTTTTAAAATCCTTTTGTTGTAACTTCTAGATATTTGTTTAAACATCTCTGTTCATGCATTACTGCAAAGCAGTATTGATTGAATTCTGACTTGAGGTTTGGAAAAATTCAGAATTTATCCCCACCCTTGACCTGAGAATGGCATAACGATACATAAACTATTCTTACATGGTTCTAAGATTTGGGGTCCCTACCACTCACACAGTTCTACTACTATTTATGGAATCTGGATCACATAATTTAGCCTTTCTGGGTCCTATCTTATTTATGCAATAAAAGTGTACAATAATTAATTTTAATAGTTCTTTCAGCGCTAATACGTTATGTGCCATAATATAACATAACATTAGAATAAGTAAATATTCCTCTTTTTGATGATAAATTTCTGAAGGCGGAGGCTGTCTGTCCCTAGTGCCTCAGACCTTCCTATTTTTGAAATGTATATATGCTGAAATAGACTTTAATGTCTTACTCATTAAGTCAAAAAGGTGTTCAAATCAGCTCCTTTTCAAATACTGCATATTCTTTGATCACAATGTCACACTATGGAAAAGCAGAGTAGATGGAATATACTGGCAGAAGATGACTCTATTTCCATCTAGATATATTTCTTACCTTCCCTGTATGATGAAGTGACTTCAGATTGTTACCCTGTAAGTCTGGGATGATGGTGAGTCAGGAGGTTATGGTACCAAGCTTGCCAGAAACTGAACTGTCAGACCCCCAAAATATGTCATCTTCAGTCCTGGTGAAATGTGAAGTTGAATCCAAAGTGATTTTAAATAGATGTTGTAACCTTTACTAGGTGATATAACCTGTCCTCTATTGATGGGCCTTTAGATTATTTCCAATCTTTTTAATGCAATCAAGGCTGCAATGGACACTCTTGAATAAATGCCTTCATAAATACATTTAAATCTGTGTGTATAATATGTATCTGACCTTCAGATGGTGGCCATATAATCAAGATTATGAGGCTTTTAATCAACTCACAAGTGACTATCCAAAGGTATTTGGGATACATATAAATTCCAACCAAGGCCAGGCCATTCTTCTTGTCGGCCAAATGTCCTTTGAAGTTGTGACTGAAAAGAAAAAGCCATGAGAAAATATTCGGTTCCAATTCATATTATTTTAGTATTTGTAAGAATTAAGTATGGAAGTTGATTTAGAGAATGCAGGATTCCATCAAGTTTTACAACCTTTGGAGGTAGATGGGTAAGACAATCTCTGTCCTAAAAGAAAAGTTAAACCTGTCAGATAATCAGCCTGGAAGGGAGACACAGAGCTATTCCAAGGACCGTGGACTTTGGCTTCCCGGGGTAAGAGGACGAAAGGACCAGTCTTCAAATTACAAAGTCACTGTTTTAAGTTCTTAAGTAGGGCTCAGTATGCTCTGTCAGAATTCTATGAATGTCTTTACTTAAATCTTTAGATGTTATGAAACCACAATTTCCAGCAGGGTAAGTAGGCAACTCTAAAAATGATGGAGATGACATATTCCTTTAGTAGCTAAACATTAACCCTAGAAAAATTTAAAATTAAATACAGGAATGTCTAAAAGAATTAGAACAATCTTATTGATGCTTTTGGTCAAGTGCTATGTCCATATTTGGTAATTATAAAACATTAGTAATGTTTAAGAGAATTTTGCATGTTAAAATGAGAGATGAGCTGCATAATTACAATTTAAAATGCATAACGAACTAATTGATGCAGACTTGTGATTTAAACTCAGATACAACAATGTCTATAAAAGCTTTGAAACCCCGTCTCTACTAAAAATACAAAAAAATTAGCCGGGCGAGGTGGCGGGCGCCTGTAGTCCCAGCTACGCGGGAGGCTGAGGCAGGAGAATGGCGTAAACCCGGGAGGCGGAGCTTGCAGTGAGCCGAGATAGCGCCACTGCACTCCAGCCTGGGCGACAGAGCGAGACTCCGTCTCAAAAAAAAAAAAAAAAAAAAAGCTTTGAAATATGAAAGAGGATTATGCTTCACTGTGTTTATGTGCTTTCCTTTAAGATATTTAAAAGTATTAAATACTTTGGGAAAGTTTTTCAGTTAGACAACTGACACACTTAAAAAGAATGTTGAGTATATTAAATTTACAAAATTAGTTTTTAATTGTATGAAGGAATTTAGTCAATTAAGTGCATAAATATTATTACACACATTCAAAATTCTCCTAAATGTGGTTACTAAAATGCTTTAGATTTACAAATAGAATAATAAGATCAGGAAGCTGCATTTAAAAATTGTGAGAAGCGGGTGAAACTGTGTGTCTACTAAAACTACAAAACATTAGCCGGGCGTGGGGGCGGGTGCCTGTTGTCTCAGCTGCTCGGGAGGCTGAGGCAGGAGAATGGCGTGGACCTGGGAGGCGGAGCATGTAGTGAGCCGAGGTTACCCCACTGCACTCCAGCCTGCGCAACACAGTGAGACTCCTCAAAAAAAAAAAAAAAAAAAAAAGTGAGAAGCAGTTTTTGGATTTTTAACTTTAATGAATTGATTGCTAAATTTTTAACCAAAAGTTAGCCTTTGAATAGTCTGTTATGTATACAAAAGTCACTTTGAGGACAAAATTATTCACATTTAATAACTGACACTTGCACTATCCTCCCCATATCAACTCAATAGGACTAATAATTAAATTTTTAAAATAAGCTCCTACATATAAATAAGAACAATCTGTTAGAAAAATTGGCTACTTTGTATAAAAATAAGACACAAATAACCAAACAATATGAAGTTATACTTCACTCATAATTTAAAAAATTATAAAAATCAAAAGTATTATCCCATACAGTGTCAGCCAATGAGAGTGCAAAGGTGCAGGCTCATGTGAAGATAAGAATGCAAACTATATATGCAAATTTTAAAATGCATATATTCTTGAACTTGATACTTCCACTTCGGAAATTTATCATATTTGTGTCGTATGGACATATTTGAATGTGTTCACAAAGGCACTTATCCAAGAATGTCCACTGCAGCATTGTTTATATGAAAAAAAAAAAAAAGAAAAAATGGAAACAATCTAAATGACTATGTCCATAGAAGATAGGTTAAAAAGAAAATTATTAAATCCATGCAATGGCTTACTACACAACCATTAGAAAGAACAAAGTAGTTTGCTGTGTTATGATATAAAAAAACTTCTATTACATTCATTGAAAAGGTAATAATAAAGCCAAGTACAGGGCAGTTTTATGATATACTTCCAAAGTATACTGGAAAGAAAAAAATAATGTATATGTGTGTGTGTGTGTGTGTGTGTGCATATGCATAGAAAATTTCTGGAAGAATATAAATACACAGATGACTCCTAAAGGTGGCTAACTGTAAGGAAGGTATATTAGTTTGCTCCAGCAAACTAATAACAAAGGATCACAAACTGGCTGGCTTAAAACAACAAAAATTTATTCCCTCAGAGTACTGGAATCTAGAAGTGAGAAATGAAGTTGTTGGCCAGGTTGGGCCCTTCCAAGGGCTGGGAGGGAGAATCTGCCCCATGCCTCTCTTCTAACTTCCGGGAAGAGCTGTCTATTCTTGGTGCTCCTTGACTTGTAGATGCATTGCTCCAATCTCTTCCTCCACCTTACAACCGTCATATTGAATTAGGGGGCTCACCCTGCTCCAGTATGACTTCATCTTAACTAATGATAGCTGCAGCCACTCTATTTCAAATCCAGTGATGTTCTGAGGTACTTGGGGTTACAACTTCAACATATCTTTTTTTGAAGGACAAAATTCAACTCATAACAACAACAACAACAACAAAAGGCCATTCTAGGCTTTGGATAAAAGTCTAAAAATCAGTTAATAAGAAAAGATTACTATTAAAGTAATCTCAGCATGATTAAGTGTTATTTATGGTCCTGATCCCGTCTAACATAAATATTTAGAGAACAAATACCATGCCATATAAACTGATTGTCCAAAATTCAACATTTGGCATTCAATTGATTTTAACGATGTTTCTCTCTCATACAGAAGATTTCTTTCTGGTTCAAAATAATTGAAATTAAAACCCAGTTTCCCTCAGACGAGATTTTCATTGCATGGAATCCCATAGTTGGAAGGGCCCTTAGAGACTTTTTAGTGTATACCTTCAACATTTTGTCAGTATTTCCAACGAGAGGCCCAGACTCTCTTGAACACCTCTAGGAATGAAAAATCACTGCTCCCTGAAGCAGGATCATCCTGATGGTTAGAAAACAAATACTCAGTCAAATTATGTCCTCCTACAATTTTCACCAATTTGTCTTTGGTCAACCATCTGAGCCTTTCAAGATCACATATGTATTACATATATTATATATGTGTATATTACGTATACACAAAAATAAACAATACATATATTTATATAACTTATATAAACATACCGTATATATATTTTTGATATGATAACCACTGAAGCATTTGGGGACACCTTCTTTTGAGTTCTATACTATGTTTTAGCTGAGTGGCAATTATAACCCAACTTCTTGTTAGAGGTAAGTATCAAAAATCAAAATTACAGACATAAGATTTTAATAAGAAAATACCCAATATAAACATAAGTTCTACAACTTTGCTTTGAAGACTTGTCTTATTTCCAGAACATAATAATTTCAGAAAGAGATACATTCTTCTGAGAAGAATGTTTAAGAGATATTTCATGTATATAAGGAAGAACGGAAAGCCTTGTAAATAATAGGGGAAATTTTGTGGGAAATTTGCCCAAGAAATCCTTTAGAAAACTTAAGTGCTCAAGGCAGCTTGAACAAAGGCATAGATTCTGTGTATGAAAGGGTTCCATAAAGTTGTGACAAATTGTTCCATTCACAGTTACCCTGCCAGATTTTGTCACACAGTATGAGAGACATTAATAAATATATGTCAGCCTGTTATTCCTTCACAAAACACTCCCTTCACCCAAATAAATAGGCTTGTTTGAGGCTACAATGGCCATCTTTGTCTAAGAAACATTCATTCAATTTGTAGATACATGTTGTTTGCTTGAAGCACCAGTTCACACAAAACTCTTTATACCTGGGAAGAAACAACAGTGATTTCTCTTCAGAAATGTGAAACATCTCTAGAACTCTCAGAAGTGCTGTTGGAAAGTACAGTCATGAGTTGCTTGGTCTTTCAGCAGCTTTCAGAAAATCAAACTGAATGTACACTGTCTTATAAAGATGAAGTTCTAGTAAGACAAATTGAGTTCAGTATCAAGGTAATTTTGCCACCTAATTGTGAGTGAGATGGCTCTGAAAATTAAATGTCCGGCCTGGCGCGGTGGCTCACGCCTGTAATCCCAGCACTTTGGGAGGCCGAGGCAGGCAAATCACTTGAGGTCAGGAGTTCAAGACCAGCCTGGCCAACATGGCGAAACCCTGTCTCTGCTAAAAACACAAAAATTAGCTAGGCATAGTGGCGGGCGCCTGTAGTCCCAGCTACTCGGGAAGCTGAGGCAGGAGAATCACTTGAACCTGTGAGGCGGAGGTTGCAGTGAGCCGAAATTGTGCCACTGCACTCCAGCCTGGGTGACAGAGAGAGACACCGTCTCAAAAAAAAGAAGAAAATCAAAGTCCAAACTTACTCATTTCCTTCTTCCAGACACGAGAAAGCAGAGTATTTTTTGTTACCTCTATAGTTTAAAGAAAACATTCTAGGATAATTAAGGCCTTTGTAATGGTTTATATTAAGCGTTACCTTGATTGGATTGAAGGATACAAAGCATTGCTTCTGGGCTTGTCTGTGAGGGTGTTGCTAGAGATTAACATTTGAATCAGTGGAATGGGAGAGGCAGATCCACCCTTCATCTGGATGAGCACCATCCCGTTGGCTGCCGGCACAGCTAGATTAAAGCAGGCAGAAGAAGGTAGAATGATCAGATTTGCTGAGTCTTCTGGCCTTCATGTTTCTCTGGTGCTGGAGGCTTCCTGCTCTCCAACATCAGACTCCAAGTTCTTAGACTTTGGACTCTTGGACTTACACTAGTGATTTGCCAGTGGCTCTCGGGCCTTCTGCCACAGACCGAAGGCTGCCCCGTCGGCTTCCCTACTTTTGAGGTTTTGGGACTTGGACGGATCCACTACTGGCTTCCTTGCTCCTCAGCTTGCAGAAGGCCTATCGTGGGACTTCACCTTGTGATCGTGTGAGTCAGTTCTCCTTAATAAACTCCCTTTCATATATACATGTATCCCTATTTGTTTTGTCCGTCTAGAGAACCTTGACTAATATAGCCTGAAAATAATTCACAGTGGAGGTAGAGAGAAATGCATCACTTAAAAAAGAAATATACCTTCACAGCAATATCCACGACTGGCTTGAGATTGAAAGCTAATAGACGATCTGTGAGCATATTAATGATATATCTTCTGAAAAAGCAACACTCAGTCATGGACTTCTTCCCTTGTATTTAAATAGGATTTTCTTACCAGGAAACAGTTGATTCAGTTCCTGGTGGTGAGCAGTTTATCGCCAAAGGTCAGTTTACTCAGCATTAGAGGAAGGCATTATTATCTAGCCGTTTCTAGAGTTCATGTTTAAAAAATGGTTCGTGGGCCGGGCGTAGTGGCTCACGCCTCTAATCTTAACCTTTTGGGAGGCCGAAGCGGGTGGATCGCCTGAGGTCAGGGGTTTGAGACCAGCCCGACCAAGATGGTGAAAATTAGCCAGATGCGGTGGCAGGCGCCTGTAATCCCAGCTACTTGTGAGGCGGAGGTTGCAGTGAGCGGAGATCGCACCATTGCACTCCAGCCTGGGTGACGGAGTGACACTTCATCTCAAAATAAATAAATAAATAAATACATACATAAATACATAAATAAAGGTGTGTGGATTACTTCTCCATTTTTCTTCATTTTGGGGACAATTTTTGTAGTTACTCATGGTTGTCCATAAGTTAACAAAGTTCAAGAGTAGTGAAAGCAAGGAGTTTATTTAATTAAAATCAGGATATCAATTAAATTCTATTTTTGGCTGAACCCTCTGCTCATTGATCTGTTCCATTTAGTACTGCAAAAAGCCACAGACAGAAATGTTGCTTATCTGGAGATATATACTATTAATGTGCTCAGAAATTGCCAAAAACAAATATTTTTAGCACAATTAAGACTCTAATATTACTATAACCTGTCTTCCCTAATTTTCAGTCATGGTTCAGTGGTAGGTTTTTTTTTTTTTTTTTTTTTCTCCTTTGGACTAAATGTTACGCTATTTTTCTAAGAAATATTTTCTAAATATTGTCCCTCACTTGATTGTATCAACCAGAGTTGGTTTGGAACTGGGTTTTGCAAAATCAGGGGTTTTACCCAACAATGGTTAATTTGGGCTTCGGTTTTGGCGTCGTGGCCTATAACAATGTGGACGGTTTCCACTTTCCAAGTTTTCTTAACTGACTGGTGACGCATCCTGAAACAAGAATCCCTGTTTTTCTTTTCAATAATTTTTCCCCTTCTGACAGGGTGGCCTGTGAAACTGAGTTAAAACATGTTATTTCAGTGCCATCGACAATGAGTCAAACTAACCTTTTGCCTTTACCACTTACTTTGTCATAAACCTGGGTAGGAGTATGGGGGTAAGAAGCTTTGTCACTCTGCAGTCTACCTTACTAACTGGGAAAAGAAACCATGAGTTGCCTACACTGCTCTTGTTCTCTTTCCACAGCTCTGTTCCCAACTTTCTCTCCAAGCCAAGAAACTTTGATATCTTTCTGTTCTTAGAGTTCTTGCTCCTCACACCCTATAAATCCAACGCAGAACTCCAATTCTGTTTTATTTCTTCACGGACGTGTTATGGCTATATTTTTATGTACTATAGTTCATTGACTCAAGACTCTCTTGACGGTAAAACACATCATTATTTTCCTACCACCAAGAAAGCTGCCATTTAAAAATCTGTGCATGCCATCGAATGTATGATACATTCCAATTTAAGATACTAAAATAGGAAAAAAGTTATCTTAGAATTGATGAACTATGTGATTTGAGGCAAAAAAGAAAAGAAAATACTTTAAATATTTTTACAAAGGCATTCACACAACCACTGACTTTCCCCTATTCTGATCTACTGGTTATCTATAGCTCTGCCTACCTCTTCCTTCCCTTAATTTTTTCATTCCAAAAAAATGTGGGATGCCTCCTACATGGAGGCTCCATGGTACTTGCCAGAGACAAACAGTAAATAAGAGAAAGACTTTATGCTGGGGAAGCTCCCATTTTGGGAGTAGATACAAAAATGGACTAGAGAATGACAGTAGAGTGACTGTCACTATATTAGTGAGAAGTACAGAATTCCGTGGGAGCACAGTGAAAAATGACCTAACTCGGTCTTCTGGGGGTTATGAAGAGCTGTCCAGAAAGGTAATGTTTCAGCCAAGATCTCAAAGATGAACAAGGAGTGTTAGCCCTTCACAGGGACAAGGCAGGTGAGGAAAGGAGGGAGGGTATCCCAGGTTAAGGAGACAGGAGGCAGCAAGATAAATGTCTGGGCTGTTCACTGACAAATGCACAACGTTGCCTAAGATTGCAGGACAGAAAGAAGTAAGGTGAGCTAAAACCAGCTCATGCGTGGACTTGTGTGCTGTGCAGGAAAATTCAGAATTGACTGAGGAAATTGATGACTCAGAGAAGTGCTTAAGCATAAAATGAAAAGATAAGTTTAGCCCTTTATTTAAATTTTTTAAATTTTGCTTTGTAAGAATAAGATTAATCATGTATAATAAAAAATTCATTGAGTAAGAAAAGGCTTATCATGGAAAACATTAATTTCTGGCTCCAGCCCCCTCATCTTCCATGTCTGAATGATAAGAAATCATCTTTAGTTCTTTCAGTTGTTTTTTTCTTGTAGTTACCTCCATACTAATTTTTAAGTTATGTGGGTGGTTCTTCTTGACATGATAAAACCCTTTAGCTTTTTCTCTGAACAGTTTAAGATCAAAAGTTCAAAGATGTACAAGTAAAGTTTGTAGTAATTAGGGCAATAAAAAAAGCCAAAAGTAACAGAAATACATTTTCAAAAGTAAAATAAAAGATCACAAACAACTTGGAAGTTTTGCAAAATATTTTCCAACTGATTCTTGTTTATTATTGCAACTTAAAATAGAGAATCGAGGCATGCTGCTAGTTTTTAATTTACAACTTCAGATATTATCCATTGATTTTTAAATTTTTCTTCCTATAAAATTTAACTCTTATATGTCACAGCAGGCACCTCTCCATATCATCTTAATATTATTAAAGCACTATTGTTGGCTACATAAATAGTGTTCTTTAAAGTGTGTATAAGTGCTCCAGCAGATAAGTCATCTTCTTATTTTCTTCTCCTGCCCTGGGCAGTTGCCACAACAGAAATACTTTGCCATACTTCTCACTTTATTCATTCCCTGGATGCCTCCATCAGAAACACCTTCATCCTTGTTCTATAGGATGTTTATGGCAGTTGATCTCCAGACCCTACACGGGAATGTCATCCTAGGAATTCTCTTTGTCAGACAGATTTTATTCACATAATAACAATTTAATGGGGTATTAAGGGAGAGAAAGGATAAACATGAGTTCAGTGCCTTCTTTAACTGAATATATATATATATATATATATAAATTTTATATATATATAAAATTTTTTTGGGAGACAAGATCTAGCTCTATCACCCAGGCTGAAGTAAGTCTGGTGGCACAATCTCGGCTCACTGCAAACTCCTCCTCCTAGGCTCAAGTGATCTTCCCATCTCTTAGCCTTCAAAGTAGCTGAGACTACAGGCACATACCACCACACCTGGCTAATTTTTGTATTTTTTGTTGAGATAGGGTTTTGCCCTGTTGCCCAGGCTGGTCTCAAACTCGTGAGCTCAAGTGATCCACTCACCTTGGCCTCCCAAAGTGCTGGGATTACAGGTGTGAACCATCACTCCTGGCCTTTGTATACTATATTTTCAATTTAGATTTGCAATATTTTAGTTCAAATAATTCCTTTGTTTCATGTATGAAATATATATATATATTCTGAGTCATGCATTAATAAATATTAGAGACATAAAGACATGTATGAGAGACATTAAAAACAGAACATTTGAAGCAGAGCTATCCTGTAAAACAGGAGTGTATGACCATATTTCCTAGCTAACTCTTATGCTCTGTTTTCTTGTATTTTTATAACATTTGTGGCGTTGATCAAAGTTTCTAAAGCCATAAGCTAAAATAGAATAGTAATGTCAGAAAAACTTTCCCCTTGATCTCAACTTTCTCACTTGGTCTCCCTGAAGTACTTTCACCAATACTTCAATGGATTTATTTATAAAATTTCAGACTTAGACAAATGTTTAATCTAGATAAAGGTCAAACCTTTCCCCTCTTGGCTCAGGAGGACATATTTTTTACTTTTTTAAATTTAGCACAGCATAACAAAACCAACAACTACAATTTTAAAAATCCTAACTTTGTGGTAGGCTCAGTACATGAAATCGGTACTCAGTATTTTTTTGCCCAGTTGTTTGAATTCTTCCTTTTTCCTTGTAATCTTCTAGCAAATGCACTGTGCATGGGGCAATATCTGGAAAGACTGTCAAACACCACATAAAAAAAATAATGTACGTGTCCTCTTCAAGGAGGGAGCAGGTTTCATTTAAAATGTTTTGATATACCGGCCAGGTGTGGTGGCTCACGCCTGTAATCCCAATATTTTGGGAGGCCGAGGCAGGTGGAATCACTTGAAATCAGGAGTTTGAGACCACCCTGGCCAACATGGTGAAA